ACCGGACTGTACAGACAGCCAAGGCAATGTGGACTCCTGGAGTTGGCTGCGCCAGCTCAGGAGGACTTATATAACGTTTGGATGCGGCGAGCGCTGCTTCAAGGCCAACGCCCAGGTCGCGTTCCAGCGCTGCCCCTCCCCCCTTCCCCCTTTCTTCTCCATCTCTCTTGGATCAAAGGGAAAATAGTTTTCATTCGATCGAAGCCAAAATGTCTCTATGTCTTTAAACCAAAACAATTAATGTATTTATTTCGACAGTTGTTTTTCCTGTAGCTCATTGGTGGTGTGTGATAAAAGAACACCGGTGAAGTGGAAAATTTAGAAGAATACCGAGGAGAAGAAAGCGGAAGTCACATGAGCTGTGAAAACAAATAGCCATATAACCGTAATACAAAGTGGAAATGACAACAGAAATGCACTCCAAATCATACATCCTGCTCGGAATTTTGATGTACCGGGTGTGTCATAAAAGACGCAGGCGGGTTTGCCTCCCCGCTCTTCTGCCCGTAAGGCGCCATAGCCCCTTGGATAGGCAAACCCCCGCACCTGTGTCTCTTATGAAACACCCGGTCCCGGTACCGGGTGGTACACAGACCCCTTCCTCTATGTTACTTATACTGTACCGCATATGCGTTCGGGCGGCGGTGCCTATTGTTGCTGGCCCCGTGCGAGTATGCAACCCGCCCGCCCGCATGCGTGGCTGTACAGTATAAGCAAAATAAAAGGAGGGGTCTGAGAATGACCCTGTGTACAGTTTAACTTTAATTTAATGCGCCGTTACCTAGCGACTTTCTTCTTGATTTTCTTCGCATTCTTCTTCCTTTCAGCTCTGCCGGAATGTATTATTACCAAACGATGTTGTCACCAGAGAAGGGAGAAGGGCGGTAGTGGTACCTCGCCTCACCCTCTGAAGGAGACCAAATAAAAGGGGATGCCTCGATTAGGCCATATCATGGTCAAAACTTGGAGTGTCTCCGTTATTGTGAAGTGTTGTACGCCAGGTGGCTGCGGCCGCGCAGTAGTTGTATAGCCTTTTGTGTTACTGAAACCCACCGCAGGATTTCTGTCTTATATTTTGAAACTATGCTAGTAGTTGCCAATCGACACCATGTGTTACATCACACGCAGCATAATGCGATAAAGCAACATTTTCGTGCGTTTCGTTTTTCGACAGGCGTTTTATGTATTTGTATAGTATCAGTAAACAATCGCCAAAGGATCGACACCCAAACTAATGCAACCGTTTAACAAAAGAAGGGACTTTCAAAGATGGCCCGTAGGGTAGTGGGACGCCACGTGGCGACGAAGCGGCTTTGAGGACGACGGCCTGCGGACAAGGACGAGCAAAGTGGAAAGTCTATCCCCCGGCTCCTCCCGCGGGCTGTTGGCTTTGCGGCTATGCAGCTACATGGAGGAAGGGTTGGCAGTGTGGTGTGGCGTGGAGCATGTTCGCAAGACTTTGTAGAGTTAAGGCGGCAGCCAAGAGCAAGCAGTG